TGTTTATTAATTGGTAGGCCGAGGAGAACGGAGGAGAACTACCTCCAATGATGAAGCTCTTCGAGACCACTCACCGGGAAGAGGGACGGGAGCTTTGTCGACGCTCGGTCCGAGGAGATCTACAATGCCGCTATGTAGCGGATCGCCGAGCGGGAGACCCCAGGCCACACCTGACGGTACTATCCAAGTACCGTTGACCGTCGCTGAGCAAGACCAGATTTTCGAAGAGGTATGATCTATTTCAATTTTTTTAAAGTTTATTATATTTATTACTTAATAAATAATTAACGTTTTCATTTTCCATTTGTAGGTTGCTCCGAAGAAGAAGGGCCGAACCTTAGGGATAGGCTCTATTAGAGACTGTCCTGCCGCCTCGGCTTCCGGATTTTGCACACAGGAGGATCCGAGTCATCTTTGCCAGGAGCTTGCTACGGCCAATGCTGGGATCACCACTCTCAGGCATGAGTAAGTGGCCCAGAAGCAGGAGCTCACCGAGATACACGATCTCTTCGACATCGTTGCGGAAGCGGTTCCGCAGTTGGCCACCGCAATCCGAGCGAGGCAACAGCGAGCACGAAGGGTTTTTGAGACCGGTGGTACTTCCGGTACTGGACCATCGGACCAGCAGACGCAGGGTCAGTCTTCGGCTCCGGTGCAGACGGGAAACGACGGTCCAGCAGTGACGGGCGGCCAAGATAGAGAGCCTCCTCGTGACGTCGATCTCAACCTCGACGATTACGAAATCACATTGTAGATTAGGTTTTTTTGTAAAAAACAATTTGTATTAAATTTTTTCTTTTATTTATAAATTATTTTCGAAATTAAATTTCAATTTCAATTGTTTTTTTCTATTTTTAATTTTTTAATTATTTTAAAAATTCATTAATTAAATTAAAAATCGAATTAAATAATTAATTTATAAATCGACGTAAATTCGTCGTAAATTTACGTCGATCTAACGTCGAATTATTAACGATGAATTTACGTCGAATATGAATTTATAAATCGACGTAAATTCATCGTAAATTTACGTCAATCTAACGTCGAATTATTAACGACGAATTTACGTCGAATATGTTTACGTTGGATTTACGTCGAAACTTTACGACGAATTAACATCGACAATTAAAAAATTAGTTTCCCTTAATTGAAATTGTTCGTCTCCTAATCGTTGTTAAATCGATGTAATTTTACATCGATTTTACATCGTTCTTATGATGGACTTCTTTCGTTGTACTTTCGTTGGAAACTTTACGTCGCGTTTACGACGAATAGTTTCCGACGATATTACGACGATTTTCCCGGGTTGGTAATTTTACGACGATTTTACGACGATTTCGGTTTTACGACGATCGTTTTACGACGATTTTTTTTTCGTCGTTAATTCGACGTAAATGCTCTTTTACGTCGATTTTACGTCGATATCTGCCGACGTAAAACCCAATCTTTCGATAAATGCTCATATCACTTTCACATTTAAAAACTACTAATAATTAAACCACATAACAAAACTAGCTCAAAATCCTATTCAATGGATATATATACAAGTAAATATTGATTGTGTGATATTAATATATGTATTGTTATCTAACTACCACCAATTTTATATATTTACATGTTTTGTTAAAGGAATTTTTTCAGCAATTTTAATTTAACCAAAAATTTTTAAATTAAATTTAAAAACAATTTAAAAACATTACCCTGCACAATGTGTGGGTTAATTCTTAGTTGTTACACTAACTAAGGATTATCCCGTGCTGTAGTGCGGATGAATTTTTTTTCACCTTTAATTAAGTAAAATAATTTTCCAAAAAAGTTATTTTGTAAAAAACAGTATTGTTATAAACTTTAAGATAATATATTGCATATCTTTTGGGCTGAATTTAAAAAAAATGAGTTGGTTCATATATGGAGTTTTTTTTTTTTTTGCAATGTTATCATATTGTATGATTCTTTTTCCCATATACGCATTCTCTCGTAGAATAGATTTTAGTTTTTCATATTCTATGACTACATTGTCATGTAAATTTTTTTCCCCATATATGCATTCTCTCATACATCACATAAATTATCCCATACAGTTATATGTAGTTTAGCATTTTTTCGGAGCATTTTCATATTATATGATTCTATTTCTCATATATGCATTTTCTCGTATATTAGATTTCTTTTTTAATATTCACATAATGATGATTACATTAATTGTCTCATAGATTAGATTTTAATTTTTATATTTATATACTGATGATTACATTGTCTCATAGATTAGATTTGATTTTTTAATATTAACATAATGATGATTATATTGTCTCGTAGATTAGATTTTATTTTTTCATATTCTTATAATGATGATTACATTGTCTCATAAATATTTTTCTCATATATACATTCTCTCATAGATGTCATAGATTACTCCGTACAATTGTCTGTAATTTAGCTTTTCGAAAGGTTATAATATTGTATGATTTTATTCTCATAAATGTATTCTCTCGTAGATTAGATTTTTTTTAGTATTCACATAATGATGATTACATTGTCTCGTAGATTTTTTTTCCCAAATATGCATGCTCTCGTAGATTTGACGTTTTTTTTCCTATATTCACATAATGATTATCATATTGTCTGATTCTTTATCTCGGATATGCATTTTCTTCTACATTATATTTTATTTTTTCATATTCACATAATGATGATTACATTGTCTCGTAAATTTTTTTTCCATATATGCATTCTCTCGTAGATCTCGTAGATTACTTGTACAATTGTCTGTAGTTTAGCATTTTTACGGAGCATTATCATATTGTTTGATTCTTTTTCATATATATATATATATGCATTCTCTCGTATATTATATTTTTTTAATATTCACATAATGATAATTATATTTTCTTGTAAATTTTTTCGCATATATGCATTCTCGTAGATTAATTTTTTTTCTTATATTCATATAATGATGGTTATATTCTCTCATAGATTTTTTTCTCATATATGCATTATCTCGTAGATTATAAATTTTTTTTTCTTAAAACAATTTCGACCCCTATTATTTAAGATCTACAATTTTGACCCACAAATTTTTCTATGGCCCAGTCATTTAATTATATAATATCTTACAAATCAAAGTTATTTTTGTAAAATATTTGCTAATATCCTACAAATCAAGGTTAATTTCTATAAATGTCTACTCAAATAATAATATAGAGATTGTAAACTATGACTCAAATAGAAATATGTGTTATTTGCTTTGTATGATTTCATTCATCTTTGTATTTTTATATTTTTGAAAGTCATATTTATTTATTTTTTACAATAGTACTTATTTTTTCAGAAAATTGGATATTCACTTCTAAATATCATTACTTTTTATTATATGTATGTTCAGTTATAAATATTGAAATAATTAAAAGGTTAATGTATATTATGTCCTCCCGATTTCACGGGGTTCAAGACATAGCCTTTCTAATGATAGAGATGGATTACATGCTCAGCGTGAAATTATAGGACAAATTATCTTGCGTACTCCTTCTGCGTTATAAAAATTCTCCAATTTCCTCGTCATAATAATTATTATGTTTTCGATTTATTTTAAAAGAAGAAAAAGAAAGAAAAGCGGTCAAATACTTAGGGGCCCTTAGTAAAGTTTCATATTTACGAACTCAACCACCAAGATCCACACTCAGTTTGTCATATCGGGTTGAATCCGAAGAAATCGGGTCCTCGGTCGAAATTGGGGTAACTGGTCAAACCCTAAGTAGCAAATCTACTTAAGAAAATTAAAAACAAAAAGATTTGTAATTTTGAATTCGACATTGTCCTCTCGTCGTCGTTGTCCTCGTCTAGTTTGTGTAGTATTCTCTGGACAACTACGAGTGATTTGCTGCTGCCTGTTTTGAATCAATGCTAAATCAGGTTCATTCGTCTTCGTCCTCTGATTTCTACGTTGTATTTAGACAACTTTGTAGAATTGAATTCGATTATGTGTAGAATCGAAAATCGATTTATATGTTTTCTATTTGGTTTGTAATTATAAAATAGGAGTCATGGATGGTATCGAAAGAGAGTTTAGTTATGCTAGACCAGAACTCTACTCAGATTCTGATTCGCCGCAGGAGAAAATGGTAGAAGAAGTAGCCGATTCAGACACGGGTAATAATCAGATAGTGTTGTGGCAGAACACTACTAAAACTACGGAAACTGAGGCTGAGGAGGAGGAGAACCAGCCATTGCCACCCGTGAGAATGTTCTTTGAGCAGCAGTCAGTACCATAATGCAATAAAGTTGGGAACAAGATGTTATATCCACAAAGCTGTTGCAAAATTGGAGATCCTAGACCTTGAACCCCATGAGCTGAGATGATTTAGAGAACACCCACAGTTCAAGCACGTTTAGCACATGCATAGGGCCATGCATGAGGACACAACACACAAGATGATGCGAATGTGGTTGTTTCTTCTTCGGACAGCAAACACAAATAAGAAGAGGGAAGCTTGGTTTGTAGTGAATGGAGTACCAATTTGTTATCCCCTTAGAGAGCATGCCCTTTTGTGCGGATTAAACTGTCTACCGTACCCAGAGGACTATGAGAGCATAGGAAGTAATTCGTTTAAGAATAGAAATTTCCAGGAAACCGTCTCCTCCCTTGCTGCTGTTGAAAAAAAAAGCTAGAGTGGATGCAAGGGCTAGATCATCCTGATCGGTTGAAGATGTGTGTCACCTACTTCTTATCCTCTATAATTAGAGGGAAAACAAAAACCGGTAAGGGAGCACCATCTGTTGACCCCTTATTCCTGAGGATTGTGGATGATCTTGAGGCTTGTAAAAGGTTTCCTTGGGGTAGGTATTCCTTCGATGTAAATATGAAGGAGATTGAGCACACAATAAGGCATTTCAAAGGGGTCGTCGAAACAGATGCCTAGACATTTCCAAGCTCTGTTACCCACTTGGAGGTATGTCGCATTATAAGGAATTTATGTGTAATTTGTTGGGTTATGTGTAGTTGCTAGCTTTTCAGGCCATCCCATGACTGAAGAACAAATAGAAAGAAGATGATAGAGAAGCAGAGAGGGATTGTCCCCGGATGTGCAGGCAGAAGTTCCAACCATTCACCCTAAAAGGTTTCACTTTGTCGGAACTCTATGAAACACTGCGTAGCACTAGGGTCATCGAGAGTATATTGCAACCATCCGAGGATGAGGTAATTATGCTTGCTGGAGTCATGGAGAGGAATGAAGAGGAAGATGTCAGTGATATCGTTTCTGATAATTGGACGAAGCGTTTAGTTGAGGAAAAAAAGCCAATATTCTAAAAATAGAAATGCAATATGGATGTTGATGCCCGAGATAATAAGGAGTGGGTAAATGATGGGATTGCGGGCCTAGTGTTGTTTTTTAACAAGCCCGTTGGTCCTCCAAAAGTTTTAAATTTATAAAACCCTAGTGTCTGCCAGTGCACAGATGTACGTTGTAGGACTTAGGGTGTCGATCCACAGGGAGGATGTCTAATCTGCGAGAAACAACCAACTGCAAAGTAAGCAAAAGTCATAAACCGATAAAAGTTTTGGGGTTTTTGGTTAAGATCCTAAACTAAACCTAATCTAATATTCACAAGAAATAAGATGCAATGCAAGATGAATTGTTAAAAGAACATCTAAAGCATATCGACTCAAACTAAAGACTCTTAAACTCATAGGTGGCGACTTAGACTTCTTCGGTTTACTCTAATCGATGTATGATCGCATTTCCAATTAGCTTCCGGGCGATTTATCTTCATCTATTTCTCGGAATCGCATTTCCAATTAGCTTCCGTGGCTCTGATCGATCGTAGGATCAGAGAATAGGTCATGAATCTACTCTCATGCTTTATGAACAACTTAGAAGAGATGAGATTCAGAATATGGTCTAGAACAATAGAAATCCTAATCGATATATATGCTTCTCGATATCTTCAAACAACTTGACTCTCTGGGACTAATCTACATGATGCAATTAATAATGAAGGACATAGAAGAATGCAAAAGAATGAAACAGAAAAGTTAATAAAATAAAAAGGAGAAATAAAAATGGATCTGGGGAAGAATCCCCATCTCCATTGGCCTACCCTAGAAAAACAGAGTTTGGTGGCTCGAAATCTCAATACAGGAGCGCACACCCGTTTAGGGCTGCTAAACAATGTATTTATAGGTCCTAAGGTCTTCCAGGTCTCATTTAGGGTTTTTCTGAAGAGAAATGGCGAAGTGGGCTTTGATGTTGGGCCTTGTGGCTTGTCGTAAGGTCCACTGGGGGTGAGAGTCTTCCAGGGCAAATAAAACATGTGTTTCCCGCGGGTGAGAGTCTTCCGGGACTGGTGAACTGGGTCAACTTGTTCTCCATGTATCTTTTGATTGCACCGTTGGATCTTTGTGATGTAAAGTGCTATGGAAATCTGGTTGTCTCCTCGTGATTTCCTCCAAATTTGAGCTGGATCAGACGGTGGGAAGGCCTCTATTGAATCCCGTTGGTAAATACGGGATATGATCCACTCTTGCAGCTGAAAAATTTTTGAAACCTCCGAAGGTACTGTGAAGGGGAGTCTTCAACTCATCCCGACACTGTGACATCCTATGGGTCTGTAGGCCATTTTTCTCTATACGAACTTTCAATTTAATTCAATCCTTAGCCGCTCACTCAAACTCATGGCCTCATCCGTTGAAGGCTCTACTATTTATTATTGTTGTTGCTGAAATTTGAGAAAAGTGATCAGGTCGACATATCAGTCAAAGAACAAAGGCTAGTCGTCTGGGTGGGGCGCTCTCTCTCCTCTTGGCAGCCTACTTTCTTTTTGTTACCAAACTTTCAACGGTCTGAATCTGAGCTAAAAAAGTGAATTTCTTCCATTCTGCCATCATTTTCCCTAATATTCCTGAAAAGAGCCTTGAAACTACAAATACATGGAAATCATGATAAAAGTTCCTAAAATGATTAAAACCTTTGAAAAAACATTTGAAATCAATGGTGAAAATAGGTCAAAATTGGGTGTTATCAACTCTCCCAGACTTGAGGCTTTGTTTGTCCTCAAACAAAACAATATCAAATCTGGAAAAATATCATTCAACAAAAGTGAGAGGGAACTCAAAAATATCAGCAACCATACTTCTAAAACCTTAATTATAGACAATGCATCAATCAATCAAGTCTAGAAAATTCTCACCAAAATACAAACATAACTAGTCCGTTAATCCGTAATGCAAAAATCCACACACTTAGAACTAACTTTCAGTCAACTAGCTCTTAACATTCATTAAAGGTTTCAGTGGTTCTCATCAAAAGGATATTAAACAAGGCATTCAAGATTAGGTATTAAAAGACTTTTTAATGGTAAGGCTTGATGTGTTTAGGGTTACCTTTTTATGGAGAAACAGGACATTATGCAAAACAGCAAGAGAGGATGGAACTGTAAATGGCCCCATAGTTTCAGTCACATTCTCCTTGCTTCAAGATTTCTGATCTCCTTTCTTCAAGTTCTCCTTTTAGTTCCTCCCTATTAGATTTTTTTCCAGGTTGTGAATCCATAACTCCATAAGTGAATACCTATTATCTTGCCTAAAGTGATTTCGGCTTCTAAGACTCTTTTACGCTTTTGGTTTCCTTTCCTTTCTTTCTTTTTTTAGGTTTTTTTTTTTTAGAAAGGGGAAACTGCCTTTTGACTTGGAGTCTTAGGGAGCACGAAATTTACCTTTAAGAATGAGCTTTTCTGACGCATCACACAATTTCTGGCACACTCCCTTCTGGTCTCTTTTAGTCTTTCTCTTGAGTGACTGAAAACTATGTTGTTCCTCCCTCTCCGGCGTTTTTTGCACATATCTGTCAAACTAGACTTAAAAGAATGCAGGAGGTTAGAACATAAAGGTTTGGGTTAAGGGTGTGGTACAGCTAAAGGTGAACTGGCCATCTAGGACAACAAAGAATGGTAACGATAAGGTAAAGATGTCCTAGATGTATATCATGATGCCTTTTTCAAACCATTGATGAGAAAATTAGATGTGAAGATTAAGTCTAAGTAGAATGAATAGAAGTCCTCTGGTGGGATTTCGTAGTGTAAGTACTCTAGCTACCGCCTAGTCTTTTACTAAACCTAGTCTTCATGAATAGAAGTCCTCTGATCGCTATCATCATCGATTTTATCATTATTCCCTCAAAATGTATTTGACCTTTGAAAACACTTTTTGAAACTCAAAAGACTTTTGAAAAGTTTTAAGAAAAATCGAAAAAAATGATAAATTTTAAAGAAAATGCAGAATGCAAGGGCTCATGCAAGAAAAGGTGGTTAGAAAGGAAAGAAATCCTCCCTCAGACTTAAATCACACTGTCCCCAGTGTGAAATAAATCAGGCAAGGCTGAGAAATAAAGTATGTAAGAATTTAAAAGATTAAGGAAAAGAAAACTTACCTGGTGTTAGTGATTGATTGTGAGATGGTTGTGGAGGTGGTAGGATGTTGAATGGTGGACTATGGATGGTGCGGAGTGGTGCTTGATCAAACTTGATGCTAGGGATCCACATCAATCCACTTTCATCAAGGTGGAGGTGGAAATGGCCAAGGGTGGCCAGCTGGTTCTGGCCGCGGATGAAGACATCCCGGTCGCGGTAGGACTGATATACTCATATTTTGTCATGTTAGGATTGCATTTTGTCCAAATATTGAGTCTCATGCATACATTTAGCTAGTTTTATTAAAGTTTGTCTTTGGTTCTAGCTTTGTTTAAGAATTGCATTAGGTCCTAGAGTGTCCTGCATTTTTGGAGTATTCTCAGGTCATTTGGAGACTTTTGGGAGCAACTTGGAGCTGGGATCAACGAGGAACCCTCACCTGTGTACAGCAACTCGGACAGATGGTTTGGTGCCGATGAGATCCCTACTTTGATCGCGTGAGACGAAGGACTTTCACTACGATTCAACCTCCGGTATCTTCACCAAGAATCAAGCAGAAAGAGTCTAGTTTCCGTAACACTTAAAATCAGACGATTTGGAGCCGTGAGCTAGGAGATATCGCCACCGGAAGGAACACATGTCTCCCGGCCCGATCAGGACTTACGCGATGCGCCTCAAAGAACCGACGAGACGGGGGCTTTGCCGACGTCATACGGGTTTGAGCCCTTCACCAAACTTGGAGCTAAGGATGTCATCTGGTTTTTGGAGTTGGAAGATCAAGGTTCGGACCAGTGAGTAAAGAGTTATGAAGGATTTGTTGCAAGCGGTCTACATTCATATCGAGAAGGAATACATTTGGCCGACTTTTGGAAGTGCAAATCCCGAAGAATTGTCGAGATGCTGCACCGACTGAATCCTGCTCGGTATTGATCCCCTGAAGCTATCCTTAACGCCGCACCGAGGTGAGTTCAGACGGTGTAGTGTCTCGGTGTAACCAGTCTCAAATTGCCGAAGCAATATCGACGTCCTGCACTAGGCAAAACCACCTCGATACATTCTCGAACCAAGACGTTTTTGTGGGCCTTTTTGGGGCCAATACCTAGTTTTTCCTAGGTTGGCCCATCAAGAAACCCTACCTATATATATGTTTTAGACATTATCCAGCAGACTAAGCTTTATTCTCTTTGTTTCCTTGCCTCTTTTGGAAAAGACCTAGACTTTGTAAGAGAGATATTCATTTTCTGAGTTTGAATCAAGAGAGTACTTAGTATTTAAAGCTGAAATCCATCATTATCTATCATTTCCATCTTCATCTTCCATCCCTTTGTGAGTTTTAATCAAGAGAGATCAAGGATATTGTGTTTAAAGCTGCAAATCCATCATTATCCATCTCCATTTCCCATCATTAATCATGCCAATCTACTCTACTTGCAAAGTTTTAAGAGAGATTAGTATGATTAGTGAGTAGTTTGCTTAATGAGGTTCTAGATGTGTAGGTTAGGGTGCTAAAGTGTTAGATTAGGAGTGCTTAGGGCTAGATTCATTGATTCATCTCTCTAAACAGCTGTTCTCTAGGCTAGATCCTTGCACATCATAGGCATTTCATGCACCAAAAGTGTTTGATGAAATGCCTGAAAGAGCTAACTTAAGGGTTTATGTTTTAAATGCCATGGGAATGTTTGTTTGAAGCATAAATGACATATTAGAACTGTTTCTTAATGCTCAGTAGTTCATATTTCACAAATGAGAATTTGGTTTGAAAGTGGATTAGTGTAGAGATTAATGGCTTCATGAGAGGATTAGTCTAGATTAGAGTTCTAAGTTGAAATGTTTGAGATCATGTGATTGCTTGTTATGTCTTTCTGTATAAGATTCAGTCTTCTTGGTTGAGAGATTGTTTGGTCACTTATTAGGCTTGATGTATTATGCTTGTTGATTGCTTGATTATATCTAATGGTTGTTAGACTTGATTAAGTGATTAGCAAAGGGATTATTGTCATGGGAATGAATTAATATGATTAAGAAGCCTAGACTAAAGAGTAGCAAGTGTTGCATTATGTTCTTAGCATCATGAATCAATATCTAAAGCATCCTAATCAATGATCACATCTAGAGGTTTATCTTTCATCATTTGCTTTATCATCATTTCGTTTGCTTGCTTGTTTAGTAGTTCATTAATCATTTCTTGTTTGTTTCTTGTTTATGCTTTCTTGTTGCTGGTTTTACCAATCTCATCTTTTATTCAGCTTGACTTAAGAACTTGTCACATAAACTAGTGTCTAGCAAACACACATTTGGATTGATACCCTTTGTACTACAAGTGACGAAGGGATTGATAACCCTTATTAAGGCCTTGAAAACCTCAGTTATCAACGAGAGAATAAAAATTCCTCAAAAGGGTATTTCAAAGTTATTCCTCAAATTATAGGTTCAACCAGGATTTCTCGACAACCATATTCCACTTAACCGTAATTCAGTTGATACTTTCAGAATTCCAAAGTTTAAATTTGCTTACGAGTTTAAAGCTTGAGATGTTTTGAAAGAAATGGAGCTGACTTCACCGTTTAGCCCTGGAGGTAATCTAACCGAGATGGTTGATTCGTCTTCCAAGGGTGACAATCTGTACGTCTCAAACATTCTTCATAAAGCTTGCATTGAAGTGGATGAAGAAGGAACTGAAGCTGCAGCCGTCTCTGTTGCCATCATGATGCCCATGTGTTTGATGCAGAAGCCAGATTCGTAGCTGACCATCCATTAGTATTCACAGTGAGAGAAGACAAGAGTGGAGTGATTTTGTTCATGGGTCAAGTTCTTGATCCTTTAAAACATTGATTGAACATTAAGCATTCAATATATTTGTTGCATTTTGTGTCTATTTTTGGTTTTTATGAAATTAAGGTTTGTCTTTTTACTGCTATGTGTGAAAAATAAAACTGATTCTTGTCAAGAGAGTTCCAAGATTGAAGGTTTCTCACACATTGAATTTTAAAACGCCGTCATTTCGTCGAACACCTTGTAGGCATTAATGTTTATACTAATACAATTTTTAATTCTTACAGAGCACAAATAAACCTGTCTAAAATCGAGAATAAAACCACAAGTTGGATCTTAACACAAACGTTGACTAACTCACAATTAACCAATGACGGAAGCAGATGAAGAACAGGTTAGTTTACAACGTTTATCGATAGATCGACTGGAATCAAGAATGGCGGATAAATCTCAGAAGAAAAAAAAAGTATCACCTGAATCTCGACTAGTCTCTCTTCTCAATGATTTGTTTGTAAACTCTCAAAATTTCGACCATTATATACGCAAAAACGTCTATGCTGGTCGAGAATATTCGATCGATACAAATTCAGATGAGTATAGCTTTATAGGCAGCTTAAATTTTGCAAAAGTTGGACACTTTACTTCAAGATCCAACGATACAGCTCCTTTGAAAAAATCTGTAAAACTCAGTCCAAGAGTTGGATTAGATGTTGGTCATCTTCTCAAATCTGCATTAGCAGGAGGAATCTCATGTGCTTTCTCTGCTTTTCTAATGCATCCAGTGGACACTGTAAAGGTAAAATGATGTCTCGCTCTGACTTACTTCTTGTTTAGTTCTTATGAGATTGTTTCTCATTACTCATATTTTTCTTTTTTTTGCTACTTCACTCGGCCATTTCAATCATAAGACACAAGTTCAAGCATCAACAACAATGTCCTTTGTGGAAATTATGTCAAAGATTCCAGAAATTGGTGCTCGAGGTTTATACAAGGGCTCGATTCCCGCGGTTGTTGGTCAATTTGCAAGGTTATCATCTCCTTGTGATCATCATTGGTTTTTGCTTATAAGCATCAACGTGATTTGGTCTCTTGATTTATGATTTTTCAGCCATGGTTTACGAACTAGCATATATGAAGCAAGTAGACTAGCATTACCGCTCGTTGCTCCTGCTCTCCTCGACATCCAAGTTATTAAAAGCTCATATTCAAACTTCATGCTACATTGTCTTTCGCCATGTGATTTGTTTTATTGGGTGGAATCTTGATTCTGTAGGTTCAGTCAGTTGCGTCTTTGTTGGGGACGGTTTTGGGGACAATACTACGAATACCGTGTGAGGTGTTGAAACAACGGTTACAAGCCAATCAGTTTGATAACATTATGGAAGCTACGATTTCAACATGGCATCAAGATGGGCTCAAAGGACTCTTTCGTGGGACCGGTGTTACTCTTCTACGCGAGGTTCCTTTTTACGTTGCTGGTATGGGACTTTACAACGAATCAAAGAAGGTAGGTATTGTTAACCAAGAAATTTCTGACTTTGGCCGATAATCTCCTCGGCCTAGGGACCATAACATGTTAATAGACAACTAAAACATAGACATGGCTGGGTTTGAGTTTTAAAGCTGGTGAAGAGACAATTAGGGAGAGAGCTGGAGCCGTGGGAGTCTATCGCAGTTGGAGCCTTGTCTGGTGGTTTCACAGCTGTGCTAACGACACCATTCGATGTGATTAAAACGAGAATGATGACGGCTCCACAAGGCGCAGATTTATCGATGTGGATGGCTGCTTATTCCATTCTCACACATGAGGGTCTTCTTGCTTTCTACAAAGGCGCTGTTCCAAGGTTCTTTTGGACTGCTCCTCTGGGTGCCTTAAACTTAGCTGGCTATGAACTTCTTGAAAAGACTTTGATAACACCTATAAATCAACCAGTGCATAGTGACTGACTTTTTTACTGTAGCACTACAGGTAGCTACGAGTGGACTTTTCATTTGTTCACGTGTATTGATTCTGCCATCAAGACACGATCCATGAAACCAAGATTATCAAACATCACATTTCACTGGGGCTGACATGATCATTAGAAGGTCTCCCTTCTCTTTTTGTATTTTGTATTTCTTGCCCTGTGGTGTATTAAGTTAATGTAGCGATAGAGTTATTTAAATATTCGGACCAAGGATCTATGAAAATACTGTGAAACCCAAGGGGAATTGGTTTAATTTTGTTTTCTCGGTTCAATTTAATTTTTATTCTAACTCAAGATTAAAGACTTTATATAAACCCACTTTTCTCCAGAAAATCGTATTTTTCTCTTTCTTTTCACGACATCAGCCTCCCATCTGGCCATCTCTCCCTGCGACTTCTCTTCTTCTTCTCTCCATGCCGCGCTGCTGCTCCTCTCCTTGCCACACCTCCCTCTCCCTCTCTCTCTCCATCCTCCTTCCTCGGTGTCTCCTCTCTTCCTCTCTCTTCTTCTCTCTTCCATCTCGGCCTCCTCCTCTCCTTTTCGCTCTACTGACTTTCAAGACCATTATCTAGCGAACCGTGAAGATCCACACGAGTATCTACATATCAAATTGAAGCCTCGAGTCTCAGCTTTATGTGAAGACCGAGTTCATGCAGATCGGAGATCGGTGTTAGGAGTTACAGACGTTTCTGTGTCAAGAGTCAAATCTGCTTGAAGATGAATAAATGTGGAAAAATGTATCTACATTCAGAAAGGAAAAGGTGAGAGTCATTTCTTATCCAACTCCTGCATTATATGAGTTAGGGTGTAGATTAGTCTTTTCTTAAACTATGACTGTTAGTTGTGTTTTAGGATTGACTGTGTATGATCTGATGTGATGATATTGATTAATGATGATGATGTGAGATATGGTTGATGTTATGTGATGAGTTAGGTTGCTAGAATTGGGTTGGAAAGTGATAAAGAAAAGAATTATTGATTGATGTTGATGTCATAAGATGTTTGGTCTTGTTTGGAGTCTTGAACATGGAAGTTTGTTTGATAGGGATTAACAAACGGTCTTACTTGAATTAGATCGAGTAAAGTAATCGTCACAGGATTTTCCTGTGGTAAGAGATTACTTGCTGGGGTAACTGTGTGGTGCCAAAAAGGCCAGCAGTGACCGTTGCTTGGCGGTTAAGGCGATCTGCAAGGTCTGTATGACTAAATAAATGACATATGTGAGTCAGCATATCACGGATGGCAAGTCGATCCCCCTATCCAGACATGAAGGCTAGATCGGATTCCATCCTCTGCAGAGCGTTTTGCTCTTGTTTGGGAATTTAAGTATTTGAATTGAAGAACTGAAATAAAGAACATATGGTGGTTCATCATGCCTCGTCAGTGATGTAGTTTTCTATGCCTCGTTAGCATGATGTGGTTTTCCCTATTTTGTCAGTAGGATGTGGTTTTCCGTGCCTCGTTAGCATGATGATGAGTCGACAAAGTGAATTGACGGAAAAAGACTTAGTAAACTGGTTGAATGCTTTCTTGTTAGTTATTTAATTTAGAGTTATATGAATGAATCCTGTTTGAGCTTGTTTTAGGATTAAACTTTCCTAATCTTTAATTCATATTTTGTTGAAAGTGATATTGGGCCTCCTATGGTTCACCTCACTGGGTAATTCAATTACTCAACCCTTCTTTTCTCTTTCAGGTTAACACTAGATCTAATATTTAATGTTATTGTTGCTATACGGGCGTTTTCGATCTTGGCATTCCTGCTGTTCCAATAGAACAATTTGGCATCTGACCAAAAGCGGTTAGATGACCGATTTAACATGCCTAATTCCCGGTTATCTCAGAAGATACAGGGTTGAGATGTTACAAATACAACATAAATAGTCATCGACTCTTTTAAAGATGAAAATTTGATATTCAAGAAAAAAGAGTTATTTTCCTTTATTTGTGTGTAAATATGTTTCCTAAAACTTGATAGTAGACGTAGAAATTTCAGCTTTCCAGGCCAAGATCAACCAATTGCTCTTCCTCATCATCAATACCTTTTACAGCAACAAGAAGATCGTCCTTCGTGAACTCATAAGTAACTCCTCTGATGCATTGTGTCAAGAAACCTAAAATGTACGAAGGTTTTTGTAAATTCCTGGTTCCTAGTTCCCAAAACCGGTTTATTTGTTATTATTTTATAATTTTGGTTATCTCCAAAATATGGGCATTGTTGTTAATATAGTCCAAAAACTAAATCTAAATTATGCACATTACGCTAATAGAAACCCTTACGGTATAGTTCTTTTAAAGGTTTGGTTGTTAGTTTTTTTTTAATGATAATTAGATGTTTGGTGTGTTTGAATTTTTTTAATAAGTATTTGGTGTGTTTGAAATTTCGTTTTACTATAAACTTTATGTTAAAGTTAGTAATCGTTTGTTATTATCATAAGTGTTGGTGTGTTTGGAAAAAAAATATTTGCTAAGAATATTTATAAATTTTAGTGTTTTAATGTTATTATAAGGTTTTTGTGTATAAAAATAACCTTTGACCAAAATTTGATGTTTGAATTAAATTTAAATTTTGGATTTTTTTTAATACAAAACTTAAAAATTGCTTGAATTTATTTCAATTTTTTTGATTATATAAACCTAGTTCGGAAATAGGTCAGAAAATGTAAAAAACAAATGCGGTTGGAAATCTGTCTGAATTTCAAATTTTAGAATTTCTTTTTTTTTTATTTCAATATCAGTTCCATCAAAAATCTGTCGGAAAATGTCTCGTAACATTTCCATCAGTTTTCCATTAGAAAATATGTCCTCCAAGGAAAGGTGAATGATCGGGAATTCCTCGGTAAATAGTCCGTCGGTAATTCGTCGAGAATATGAGTTCCTCGGGAATTTGTTGGAAATTTCTGATGAATTTTTGGCGGAATTTTTTTTTCGACGAGATGATTCCGACAACCAGTTTTCATCTGAAATTCGTTGGGAAACAGAAATCCGTCTGGAAGGTTGTTTTCCGACGAATTTTCGACAGATACGATCATCTATCGACTGTTTTCTTGTAGTGTGGAACCGCAAAATGGAAAAGTGGTAAACAGAAGTCTGTGTAAAAACCCTAAAGTCAGTCGCCACTCTCTACCTTAAAGGAGAATCCATCACAGCTTAGAGAGCAAGGGGAAGACAAATCAGATCTGTTCTTGTAGACAGGAAGAACAAATAGGCAAAACAGATAAAAACAATATGAAACTTGGTGAATATGTTCCTAATTCTATAATCTATTTAATTCTGAAAGTGTATTGTTATTTGAAGTTGTGATATGAAAGTTATGGATGTTTTTCCAGGCCTCACAAAGAAGACTCTTTGTCCAAGCAAGAGCCTCTACCACTGGTTGAATTCACATGCCTAAATTGGAATAACATGCGCTAGATTTTGGATGGACCTTATGATCAGTCCTTTATTTTGTAAAAGCAAAGAATCTGTCTCACAGATTCGAGATCTTTCCACTCATGCTAGAACCGAAAGACCTGTTTGAACGTTACATAAGTTAAGACCAGGGACAATTCTTGTTCACTTGCAGCATTGAGGAGTCTAATACTGAAACAATCCATTCAATTAATGCTTGTATCTGAGCATCATTCCCAAGCCAACCGCTCTAAAAATTGGTATCAAGCACGTCTACCCAACAAACATAAGGATGTGATGAGGTCATTGCCCACGTTTAGACCTAATGATTCAAGAAAGCTCCAAAGCACCCGATTCAGACCTAACGGAGGATATTGCACCTTTGAGCCTCAAGGAATATCAGCCTCGAACCAACTCAGGTAAGTATGTTTATTTGGAAGGATATGGAGTTCAGGACATCAGAATCTCACCGAGATCACATCATGGCTGCAAGATATGCCCATTTCAAGCCATGAAGCCGATAAAGATCAAATGGAGCAAGAAGAGGATTTTGAAGCTAATCACGTGGAAACAGTTCAAGCTTTAACTCTGCTCTCACCAACTTCAACAACTCTGCTCAAGAATCCGACAACTCTAGTCAAGACTCAAACAACTCTGCTCAAGAATCCGACAACTCTAGTCAAGACTCAAACAACTCTGCTGTTGCTGGTTCTTCAAGGACTTAAGAAGTTGCTGTGTTTACCAATTTAAAAGAAGATCAAGATGCTAATATTATCCAAGATGAACACATATATATATAAGCTAACATATGCATTTTAAATTTGAATAAATAACGAGTTTTTTTCTTGTTTAGCAGGAATATGACCGTTGGAACTTTAAGAGTCTTATTCTTTTTACGTTCTTTTCAAGTCTGTTGTTTTTCCAAGTTGAGTCTTTTTATTTGTAACCTAATTTCGACCCTAGAAGGTCTTTCCTGCTTAAGCTTGCATTGGAGCTTAAATCTTTCTTCTCTTCGTGATACTTAGGGGGTTTTACTGGGGGACTTCTAGCTGGCTCAGAGCTGGAAATATGCTCCATCCTTGCATCAATTTCGCATGCCTTGAGTTCAAGTTTGCTAAGTTGGTATTCGATTTCCTGAAGTTTCTCATCTGTTTTCTCTCTGTACCAAGAGGCGAATTCTCCAACTTCCTTGATCTCTCGTTTTGATTCAGCAATATCGCTTAATTTTTGGATGATATCGTAGCCTTTTCTTGTCTGTTCTCCTGCGACTTGATTTATCATCCCGACAACTGTATGTGCGTCCTTCTAGGTCTGTTCTTCTTGGGTTTTGACGTGATCAGCTAGGTCATCGAACTTTCTGTTGAATTCTTCAGAAATTGAATCGATTCTTTTGAGCAGGGTGTTCTCGGTGAGAATCTACTGATCAAGGAACCGTTTAATCATCCATTCGGGCTGTCCCAAGCGCTTACTAATCCTCAAGTTCTCCTTTTGCTGGCCATGGATTTGCTGAGGGGGTGCTGATGTGGGTGCAGAGCGCAACACAAGTTTTACTCTAGACGGTTTGCAGAGTTTCGACATGCAGGAGTCCGAGGTTGATGGTGTGAAGGTTTTTAGGGTTCCAGGATCTCTTTTGAACGAAGCCCCAATGTGGAATGACTGTATTATGGGTAAGTTTCTCAAGACTGCCCCACATGTAGGCTCAATCCACATGATCGTTAATAAAATCTGGTCGACGGGCGATAAGTCGAGCATAGTTGATGTATTTGTGGTGAATGCTACTACGGCGAAGTTTCGAATTAAGGATCGCGGATTGAGGGAGAGAGTGCTCAGGAGGAGAATGTGGAACATTAAGGATG